GCTGGCCTGGAACTCACTATGTAGACAAGGCTGGCCTCAAACTCACAGAGACCCACCTGCCTCTGCCTCTTAAGTCCTGGTATTAAAGGCATGCCCCACCACTTCTGGCTGCTCTTCTCTTATTTAAACTGAGACAAGTTCTTGTGAAGCTCCGGCCGGCCTTGAACTTACTATGTCACAGAGCCTGTCTTTGAACTCCTGATCCTCTTGCCTCTACCTCCCAAATTCTGTGACGACAGGCATTTTCCACTGTGCCCAATCATATTTTGAAACTATTAAGTGGAAAATTCTAGAAACAATTTATGTTTCAAATTGCATGCCATTCTTAGTAGCATGATGAAATCTCACTCTGTTGCTGTCTGTCTCCCCTGAAATGTGAGTGACCCCCTCTCCGCAGTGTATCTACACTTTATACATTACCTGACCAAAGTAGTTGCCATGGTTAACAGAGCAACTGGTACAGTATTGAGTGTTTGTTTTCAAGTAACCATACTTAATAGTGACCCCCAAAGCATAAGCTTAGTGATACTGGCAATGGGTACTCATGAAGTGCTTCTTTTGGTGAAAAAGAAAGAAAAATGTATGCTAAGCATTAGAGTATGTTGCTAAGATTTATAGTAAGAATGAATAGGAAAAAAAACATACCAGATGTATGCATCTACTAAAGTTCAATCCTCTCCAAAGTTCGAGACATCTACCAGGGGTCTTGGCATGTATACCCTGAGAATAAAGAGGCCCTACTGTAATTTCTGTCACTTCCTGTTTTTAAGACAAGTCCAGAACTTTTCTCTGAAGAGGAGTTTCTTCCATTGGATCCAACCCAGGAGCTGATATTTCCCCCAGAACTAATGGTAAGGGAGGCAATGGTAAGCTCATTCTAGAGGAATTCACAGTGAAATGTCAGGAAGGGCCTTTTTAAAAGCTGATGGGCAAATAACACCCATCTGTCATCCTTACCACAAGGTCTAAAGAGTAAGGACTAAGAAAGAAGTGGAAGAAAGAGGGTGGAGCCACCGTGAGGGTGGGGCCACCATGGGGGTGGGGCCCCATGGGGGCGGAGCCACTTTGAGGGGCCAGTGGACTCTAAGAAGCACAATACATATAGAGACTTGTTTTCTGCTTCCATTATGCTGAAGTTCATTTTTCTATAGGATGGTTTGAAAAAGTTGAGTATGCTGCTATATTATTAAACATTAAAATTAGTTACTTTGAGATACAAGAAGTCAATGGGAGTTTTGGTTTCCAAGAGTAAAACATGGTCATATTTTATCCTGAGCTCTGATTCTAGTAAAGCTCTACTTTTAGGTCACAGTATTTGCTTTTTAGACGATTTGTATTTCCATTCTCTGTTTCTAGAAAAATAGCATGGAAACAGATGGGAATTTTGTCATATGCTATCTCAAATCCCTGTTGCTTTTTCAATAGATGATGGCTGAGAAACAACCACCAAAGACCAGAGTCTTTGGTGGTGATAGAATGACATGGATTGCCCCAGTGACCCTGAAGGACCTTGTGGAAGCTAAATTCACATATCCCCAGGCTCCCATTGTCATGGGGAACACCTCTGTGGGTATGTAGACCCCAGGGATTTCGGAGGAAATTCAGAAAGAGGGCTGAGAGGGAAGATAGCTTCCTATAGGTGTATTCTCAGGAAAAGCAGTCTGAAACCTCAGTATGGTTCAAGAGCCTTTCCAACATCAGGTAGCTACTTTCCCTGAGGCTGCCCTGGAGCAGAGATTTGTTGCCTTGCTCCATGGCAAACCTGCAGCTGGGGAGCCAGCGACCACTGTCTTGTCTTTCCATTTGGGGACCACTCTGGGACTCATTCTGAAACTACTCCTTGTTCCCTCTCTGGGTAGTATCTCAATGGGTGTAATATTTTTTCCTCAAGTTGCAGTTATAGAGTCTTCCTGGAATCTGTAGATTCAGTGTGACTGCCCACCTCTTTGAAGGGCCTACAGCATCTTCTCCAAGAGAAATCTGAGCATGCCACATTGCAGGAGGGTTAGGGCTGACAATTCAAAGTGTCCTCTAAGTTTAATGAGAATCCATTCATGTCTCTGCATGTGGTTTGGCAATAAGTAGCCCAATAGAAAGGAACAACTTTTATATGTCCAAGGACATCAGTTTAATAATTTCAAAATTAAAAGGGTAGTTAACATCCTTTTATCCTAATCTCACCCCCCTAAAATTTTTAGGGCCTGAAGTAAAATTTAAAGGTGTCTTCCACCCAGTGATCATTTCTCCGGGTAGAATTGAAGAACTGAGTGTTGTAAACCAGGCCTGCGATGGTGAGTTCTTAAAGTCTTTGTTTTCTTGGTTAAATACTCTAATCAATTCAGTAACTTTGTCTAGCAGACCAACAGAAAGAGAATTGTTTCTGGTCATAATACACAGAGTCTTTTCGATAAGAATGATGACATCCAGGGGAGAAGGTATGGGCTCCAGGAAGAATTCCCTAAAGTTCTGTTAGAGGCTGTCTGAATAGTCAGCATTTTTTAGCTGCAGTATCAGGGAACTGTAACAGTTCAAGGGAGGTTCTATACCAGTGCTGAACAAAAGATGAAGATGAATGGATCACTGTCTTTGTGCTCCAAAACACAGTAGCAAGCAAAGCAAGTCTCTGTATTAAGCAGCTTACAGATGGGCCTTTTCATTTATTGATTTAAAGGCAGTGAGAAGCTCACTTACCCAAATCTTAATTTTATCAGCTGTAAGGAGAGCCAATTGATAGCTCTTGGTTTTTTTTTTTAAATTAATGGAGATTATCTAAGATATTCATCATGCTTGATAGAATGAATGCTCAAAGAATCTAGCCTTCAGGGCCTCTACCACCGACTGCATCATTATCCCTACTGCTCCCCGTCTACCACTTCTACCACCACCATTATCACCACTGTCATCACCACCACCATCACCAATAAGCACAGCAACATATATTCAATAGAAAGAGTCTATGCCTATAGCTTTGGTCTAACATTTAGATGCCATGAATGATCACATTGTGTATCTTACACAAGACTTTATTTCAGGGATAACACTAGGTGCTGGCCTCAGCCTGGATCAGGTGAAAGACATTCTGGCTGATGTGGTCCAGAAGCTCCCAGAAGAGAAGACACAGACATACTGTGCTCTTCTGAAGCATCTGAGAACTCTGGCTGGGTTCCAGATCAGGAACATGGCTGTATGTATTTGACAACAGTAAACTCTGGCATGCATCTCTTGGGTGACTGTAGTTGATGACTCGTTTTTGTTCTTTAAAACAGACAAAAAGAACAGCTCTCCAAAGCCTTGCTTAATCTTTATTTTAGCACTTAGGTTTTGTAATTACACAACAGAAGTAAAAGTAACTATTTTCAACAGTCTTTAGGGGGCCACATCGTGAGCAGACATCTGGACTCAGATCTGAATCCCCTCCTGGCTGTGGGTAACTGTACCCTCAACTTGCTGTCGAAAGGTAAATGGCAGCTTCTACTTGGGGCTTATTAAGCCCAATCTGTTCATTTTCTCTATGGAAAGGTAGGAAATTATATTTTCCTTCATATTAGCAATTTTCTATGCCTTTCTGGAGGCTGAAAAGTTGGTCAGTCTGGTCCTAGTACCATCTCCCAATCTCTCTTCCTGTTTCTTCTTGAGACCTTGCTCTATCAAGGCTACCAACATTTTGACATTGAGACATGATGTTGTCTATCAATGTGTTAAGCTGCATTCTCACCTATCCTGGGATGCATGTGACCTTTGGTCACAGGTTAGACACATCTGCTAGCTGTTTGCTCACCCTACATTGAACATGCTTGCATTGGTTAATGTCCAGGTGTGAGCTGATTATTGGCAAGAACCATACACTCTGAGAGCTATTGGGCACCTTTTTTGGAGATGTTCTCCTGTGGCAATGGGGTGTTTGGCTCCCACGCTATGTTCTGGTCTCATACTTAAGGACCCAAAATCTTCCTACAGAAGAGAAGACACAGACATACTGTGTTCTCTTGAAGCAGCTGAGAACTTGGAGATTATCTAAAGCACTTAGCATCATGCTTGACAGGAGTGGTTAAAGAATCTAGCCTTCAGGACCTCCTTCATAACCTTCAAGACCTGCATACAAGTTGTTTTTAGTTGAAGAATGACTGAGCTTTGTGCTATTTTTATGTACTTGACTTTTGTTTTTGAAGCTCAATGCAAGAATTTTGTCTCCCTTACTCCAATTTATCTGATGATTGTTAGGAAATTC